GGACATGCTCTCTCCAAAGGCTCTAGTTTCTATTACTCTCGGTGAGCCCTGGCTTGAAGCTCCAGTATAACTTTGTGTTCACCTGGCTCTCTTCCTTCTGTCTGCCTCTCTTTCTAGAGGTTTCAAGTCACTCTAATGGGATTAGGACCCATCCTCTTATGTTAGTACTGTGGGCTAAGCACTGGGCTGCTAACCACAAGGTCAGCAGTTCAAACCTACCAGCTGCCCTGAAGGAAAAAGATGAGGCTGTCGGCTCGCATAGCATTTGTTGATGGTATCAGAAATTCTAAAGAGCAGTTCTACTCTGTTCCGTTAGGGCTGCGGTGAGTTGGAATTGACTCGACGGCCGTGAATTGAGTTCTCCACGGTCCTCGTTCCAAACCACATTGTGCTTCCAGCGACCAGGGGACAGGACTGCAGCATATCTTTTTGGGAATACAATTTAATTGTAAAATTGCACCATTCAGTTGTAAAATGATTTGCACAGCGATTAAGAACATAGCCGGGGCAAATGAGCACTAGTTTACTAATTGTGTAACTGGATCTGGTTTTTAAAAATGCCAAATGGCAGAAATAATGAGGCTTCCATGAACCAGAAGGGACTATACAGAAGGTATTTATTTATTTATTTGGAATGGTTTTGAGAATTCATTCATCATGAGTTGTGGTGAGTGCTATAAAAAAAACCCCAAACTGTAGTAAATGACCCATATTGACCCATATTGACAGAGTTGAACTGCCCAGATGCTTTCTAAGGCTGTATTGCCTGCAGAAGCAGTTCCCCAGCCCTTTCTCTCATGGAATGACCATGGGTTTGAGCCACCAACCTTCCAGTTAGCAGTCATGCACGTAACCACTGTGCCAGCAGGCCTTCTTAGTGAATACTGTAAAAGTGCTATATAAATGTGTCTGTATGCTACTACCATGGGTCACACTTAGATTGTGAGTTTTAGGCAGAATTCCAGGAATTGTATCTTTTAATTTTATTATTATTATTTTTAAAAATCTGCATCCATTCAAAATAAGATCTTCATTTTAAGCACTCAGTACATGTTTGTTGAATTAAAATTTTAAGTCACTGGCTGGCCTAGCCCACTTAGAATTTTGTTGCCAAGCAGTGCTTCAGAAAAATCATTTTTGATAAAGCAAAAACCACTTATTTATTTTCCCTCTCCAATTGCTCCAATTCCTGCCCTTTTCCCTTCCAGCCAGATTTGCACTGTAAACCAAGCCAACCTCCCTGTCATTGAGTCAATGCTGACTCCTAGTGATCCCCTACGGCAGAGGAGAACTGTCCCTGTGGGGTTCCAAGACTAACTCTTTCTGGGAGTAGAAAGCCTCATCTTTCTCCCATGGAGCAGCTGTGGTTTCGAACTGCTGACCTTGTAGTTAGCAGGTCTATGAGTAGCCACTGTGCCACCAGGGCCCCTGCTCTGTACGTTACCCTCCTTTATACTCCTAATTAGATTCTGGATTCATGGTCAAGCATGAAGTTGCTAGAACAGGAATTGAGTTTCCTTTAGCAGTCACAACATGATGCCTTTTTGCAGAGAGAGAGTTTGGAAGTTCCAGACCCATAAAACTTCACCTATGACCTTGTTTTTGACACAGATCGATCTACCTTCATGCTAAGAAATGACCATATTTTCAAACTTGTTGAGCACCAACTAGCATGTATGATTTTCTTTCTGGAATTCAGAGATGAAATCCCTTTGCTCATGTGTCGGGAATAGCAGTTTTGAATTCATCCTCCTGCAGCAGGGCCAGGGCTATTTGCTATAAAATATTTCACTGCTATGCCTCAGCCCTTCCATCCTGGTATGGAGTAAGCTCTAAATCTGCCCTGCCTGACCACACAGAGCCAGCGGCAATCACCGCCAACAGTAAAGCTGTACAATGCAGTTACTAAAACCTCTTCTTATGAATCGAAGGAAACACTTATGGGGAAAATGAGTTAAGGTCAAGAACAGGTGTTCAAAGGAGCCCTTAACACTGGTTGAGGAATTAAACCACCTCAGAGATCAGTCTTAATTTACTCTGAAAGCCATTTCTGTTCTTTATTGCCATCCACATATCTGCGTTGCTGGAAAAGACAGGGAACATTAATTATCACCTAACTACACAATTAATTTTCTTCAAGGCAAATTCCAAAGAGCCCTGAAAATATTTCTTCCATTCGAAAAGTGAATTTTGTCTCTTGTGTCATAACTTTGCTCCCAGTTGGAAAACTAGGATAATGAAATACAGTGGGGGGTGGGATGGGGAGTCAGTTTCTGCAGAACATCAAACACTTCTTTTATTTCATGGTATTTCCAAGTATCACTTACCAACCTTTCATGGACAAAATTGGCACCTCCTCTTGAATATGCTGCTAACTTGTCTGTATAGTTGTAATTAGTTCCCTCCTCCTTTTCCTTTTATACATTATGTATTTTTTCTTTCGTTTTTGGCTACAAAGTAGTGCTTAAATGTGTGCATTTTCAGGACACAATTTAGGGTTTGGAAGAACTAGACCTGCTGATTGCTACTTGCTAAATAATGATTACATTTGTCCCTTTTGAATTGATTTATTAGGTCTGTATTCTAGACTGTATTTCATTCTGCTCCACTGGCTGATAATGAACTCTCTGATAGTGACTTTTTGTCAGATTTATCTTTCTTGGGTCAGAAAACCTAACCTGTTGGAATAGTCTCTTGTTGAAGGGTTCCCTTTAATATCTAGTGACATTTATCACTCTCTAAGGCCAGCTGCCTGAGTTCTCTTCAGTGCTCTGTTTATGGGGCTTGAACATCTATAAATGGAAACACTAGCTAACCAGAAATTATCGCCAGGGCTTTCTGATAGTGTCCTGGGCTCTTACAACTTGGAATGTCCTGCAATATCTAACATGTAAGCCTGTCAAGTCCTTTACAAGACAGAATTTGAACCTCTCTCTGTTTCTCTCTCTCTCTCGCTGTCTCTTATTCTCTTTCAACATGGAATTTGGAAAACATGAACAAGGAAGCTCAGTAAACAAGAATCTAGAGACACAGCGGACGGTAAGACTTGTGAGAGTTACACGCACGGGTTTCTAACATAATCGGCAGGGTGAAAAGAGCAGCTGTCAATGTCAGGAAGAGTTGTTCTAGCCAGTCTACATTCCCACATTCTGCTGGTCAACAACCTTGAAATCAATGAAGTCCATGGGCTTCATTGAAAATGGTATCACAAAATGGTTAACGGTTTCATTGCTGGAATGTAGATGAATTGGATGCAGTTAAATGAACTCTGTTTTTAAAACTAGATTAATTTAAAAAATTCACTCTTGTGGTTGCCTTGAGCGAAGATGATTATTTTATTTATTGATATGGAAGCTACCAAGGATTCAAGGTGTGCTTTCTATTGGAGTTATCAGGTTTAAGGGTTAGGAAAATATATGAGTATTATAGAATATTTTAATGTTTTCTAGATAAGTTATGGACTGTTTGTTTTAAAGATAAAGCTTACTCTTCAGAAATTGGTTTTTCTTGCTTTAAGAGAGGTATGAGTATTTTTTATCTTGATACTAAAAGATTCAATGCCAGTAATGAGTGGCAGTCATTTATATTTGCCTTAAAGGGGATAAATGGATCATTATGTTGGTAAGTTTATTGTGGCTCCCAAGTTACCATTTGAACAGAGCATGACTAATCTTAATTACAGTGTAAGTACTCAGAGGTAACACTGCATCAACGATAACACAACATGGTCCCTTATGGTCTTGGGAATGCATTGTACTGTATATTTGAAGCTGAGTTTTGTACAGTTATAATGATACTGAAACATGAAAGATGGAAGGCTAATCACATTGGATTGAAATGTTGTAAAATGTATCAGAATGTCAAGGCCTAAATGAAATATATTAGATAAAAGGGAATCTTTAGGGATTGAGTCATCTCTCTGGAGATCAACTTTTGACTTGTGTTTCTATTTGGTTGTCCTTGAATGTAATGGCTCTGAACTGTTTTGCTCTTTTATTGTGTTGAAAGGCCACGTAGCAAGGCAGAGCTAACGGAGTTGAGTCAGAGAGGTCTGAGTGAAAATTCTCTTTCCACAACTTCAAAAAATGTGGGGTGATATGATGTTGTTTAAATGTTTTGTGTCTCAGTTTACTCACTTGGTCTGTGTCTCAGTTTACTCACTTGGTAAATGAAGAACAAAAATACTTAATTAGAAGACTGTCATACAGAATAAAAGCTATTCTGTATGTCTCCAGCCTGTACTTATTATTTTCCAAGATGCTTTTTTAAACTGACTTCAAAAGCATATGCCCAGAGGTTATTAACATAGAAAGAGAATGCTGAAATTCATTTTGAAGTAAAAGAAAAAAACAGACTCGCTAACCCTATCAGCATGGTCTTCCTAAAGCTGTATGAAACCAGATGTAATTGTTCATAAATACATTGAATTAAGAATTTCGATGGATTAGTGCAACATTTGACTCCAAGCTTCCTGGCAGTCTTTCACAGGGAGTTTTACAAATAAACATGGCTGGACATGGACCAACTGAGCAAAAGCAAAAAGTGATTTCTTAGTATTTGAACTGGGTTGATGAATTAACATTTCAATTTCTGGGATGTCAGATATTCTGTATGCCTCACACTACCTCAGCCAGAGCTATAAATCTGTATGTGAGTAAAAACCTTTCCTCTGAGCAAACATCTGTCACAGAATACTCTACATCGAAGGTCTAGGGCTCACTCTGATTAATGTGCAGGAATTCCGGGGAAGTGATGGGGGCAGATTAGAAGACATGAGAACATCCAACTTATGCCTAGAAGAGACTGTTTGGGGAAGGAAGAAAATATCAACCAACTCAAAGTCTGGGGAACAGTCACATATGTAACTCAAACACCTTTCAAATCCAGGCGTTCTGATTACCCTGCATTATTAAAAAGGTTAGATATGCTCAGAATTTTCTGAGAGAGTTAAAAAAAAAAAGCAATATATCTTTGGCAGTTTCTACTAAGATAATTATTTTACACATCCCAGTTCTTCAATTCATGGAGCATCAGATGCCTTGTCAAGAGCAATGTAATACAGCTTGACTGGCTAGATTGCTGAATATAGTTTAAAATGCATTTTTGACGAGTCCACCACTTTCTGGCAATTATGAAACTTATTTATTTTAAATAGTAAAGTATATTTAGAACATATGGTCTCTCTCTCTCTCTCTGTCGATGCTGACCCCCTGTGTTTCCGAGACGGTAACTGTGTATAAGAGTAGAAAGCCCAGCCTTTCTCCCGAGGAGCTGCTGGTGGTTTCAAACTGCTGACTCTGCACATCACAGTCTTTATAAGGAGAGAATATTTTGTCATCAAAATATTTGGTTATGCATATTAGGTGCCCAGGTGACTCAGTGGTTAGGCATTTGGTTGTGAACCTAAAGGCTGATGATTCTAATCGCTAGGTTGCTTCCCAGAAGAAAGATGAGACAGTCGGCTTCCATAAAGATTTACTGCCTTAGAAACTTATGAAAAACTTATAAAAGCTTTACTTTTCTCCTGTTGGGTTGCTATGAGTTGGAATTGTGTCAAAAGAATAGAATGGTTTTTAAAAAGATGCATATCATTTAAAAATAAAGTCCTATTTCTCTTCGCATAAGGATCATTATAATGACAAATAATATATTCATATTAAAATTAAGAAATACACCTCACTGACTTTATTTGGGACATTTTCTAAAGTTAGAACTACAGAAAACCAATAGTTTGTAGATTTAAAAAATTCACCCGTCAAATCTTCTATCTAAAGAAACAAAAATAAAACAGGATATTAAAAATACACTTCCAAAATAAATCTTCCCCTCCTCTGGATGAGCTGCTACTTTTAAGTATTGATTTTTGTCACCAATGAATTTGTTGCTGTTTGGTGATTTAAAGCAAAGACTCACGGTTGCTTGGCAATTGAATGTGATCCCTTCAGATTCATTCATCAGTAGGTTTTCTACGAAGCAACAAAGACAAAGTGACACTCAAATGTTTTACACTTTATCACACCTACCAATGCCAATTTAAATTTCTCACAAGTCGGCTGGTATTGTTTAATTTTTCAAATGTGAAAAGAAGAAATCGAAAGGGCAGTTCTAGCTAAACCCCCAAAATATATGAGAGGATACCCCCCAAATATCCAGAAAAAAACTCTGCCAGGCAGAGCTCTCATAGTGCACATTTTTTGCTTCGGTGAGTATCAAGCAACTCCCTCTGAGTTAGTGCATCCAGCGGCGTGGCCTGGGAAGGTTCTCTCTGGTCACGGTGAATTTTTATGTAAAAGCAGTTTCCCTGGAACCTCTTTTTTTGTGGTGGCTGATTTAAGAGAACAGCGTGCGGATGTGAAATTTTGTTTTCTGCTTCAGAAAAATGCCACAGAACCGGTTGTGATGTTGACTACAGCTAATAAGGACAACGCTATGAGAAAAACTCAAGTGTATGAGTGGTTTTCTCCTTTAAAAAAGGTGAAATATCGATGACTGATGACAAATCTCATTCTGGACATCTGTCAACTTCCTGAGCTGATGAAAATGTCAACAAAATTCCTACGCTTTTGCTTGTAGACAGACGATGGACCATTGAACAGATGGGGGGAGTTGTCTGGACTATGTTGGAGCTCGGTTCGGAGAATTTTAGTGGATGATTTGGGAATGAGAAGGGTCGCTGCAAAGTTTGTGCCTCAGGTTCTGACTGACCAGGAAGAAGCGTTGAGTGGAAACATGCAGTGCTTTGAAAGAACACCTTCAAAGCAACGCAGACTTTTTTCTAAGGTCATTGCTAGTGACAAGACAAGGTGCTGTTCTTATGCCCCCGAAAGCAAGCATCTATCAAGCCAGTGGAAGATGCCATCATCATCTCAGCCCCCAACAGCTCGTCAAGGGAAATCAAAGATCAAGAAAATATTCATTTAGGTTTTTTTTGATGTGAGGGGGATAGTGCATTTGGAATCCATTCCACCAAGTCAGACTGTTAATCAAGCTTTCTATTTAGAGGTTCTGAAACAATTGCTTAATACAGTGTGGGGGGAAAACAGGCCTGATTTGTGGCAGACGGGGGACTGGTTTTGCAACTCTGGCAACTATGACAATGCACCTGCCACCTGCACGCAGCCACCTCAGTGCCCCAGTTTTTGACAAAAAAACCAGCATGCCTCTCTTGCCCCATTCACCTTATGTCACTTGACCTTGCTCCATGTGACTTCCTTTTGTTTCCATGAATGAAGAGGAACATGAAACAATAGTCATTTGACTCCTTAGAAGAGGCGAAGAAAAAAACGAGGAAGGAACTGTCAGCCATCCAAACAGATGAGTTTGAAAAATGTTTCTAAGCATGGAATCACAGATTTGACAAATGTATTAAGTGTAATGGAGTTAAGTGTGCTTTAAAGGTGATAAGGTTGTTTGTTTAAAAAAAATTAAATACATAGCTTTGGGAAAAAAGTTCCAATTTTGGGGGTACCCACTAGTATAAAGTCATGTTGGGTGTCTTAACCAGTTCTGACTCTGCAAGCCATGAGGACATGTTCGTAAATTGAAGAATACCCCAGATCAGATTACACAGAAGCTGACGGGCTGGGGAGGAGGGAAAGGATTACATATTTTGAAACAATACAATCCTGTTTAATTTGTTCCACAATCATTGTTGGGGCTGTATTGATGCCCCCTGCCCCCCACCCCACCCCACCCCACTCCACCCCACCATGGCTTGTTCAAGTAGAAGTAGTTTGAACTGGTGGTTCCTAAGAGAAGATAAAAGCACACGTTGTGACCCTTTATCTTTTGCAAAATCTTTTCTTTGAATAGATTCCAGTATTACAAACAAACCAGATCTTTTGTATCTTACGTATCTGGGATCATTCTTCACATTTCCAAGACTACGTATGTTCCTTGAAACTATATGTTCCTAAAGTTCTTCTGAAGAAAGTTCCTGGCCTGTGCTCAAGAACATTCAGGAAAACACATGGTAGGCAAGGCAGTACACAGTGCTTTCCCTCCTGGGGACTCACAGTATATGTTAGCATATTAACGTC